ACCAAACAGGTGCTAATGATCATCAATTTCATATGTGGGTTGAAACACAGTCATTAACTGAAACCGCTGTGTAGGAGGCTTAAAACTGGGAGGGGAACAGCCAAACTCTGCTACCAACGTGAGTTTGTGGAAGACACCATGACAGGACTGAGCACAACAACAAGACACAAGGTAGTTACGCTGCATCAGCAAGGTCTCTCCCAGGCAAAGATTTCAAAGCAGACTGGAGTTTCAAGATGTGCTGTTCAAGCTCTTTTGAAGAAGCACAAAGACACAGGCAATCTTCAGGATTGGAGACGCAGTGGTCAGCCAAGGAAACTTAGTGCAGCAGAAGAAAGACACATTATGCTACTTCTGGGCAGAAGTGGTCTTCACGGAAGAATTGCGGCCAAAAAGCCATACCTCTGATGTGGAAGCGGGACCAAGCGACTCAACTTTGCACAAAAACGTAGGAACTGGGGTGCAGAAAAATGGCAGCAGGTGCTCTGGACTGATGAGTCAAAATTTGGCTGTAGCAGAAGGCAGTTTGTTTACTGAAGGGCTGGAGAGCGGTACAATAATGAGTGTCTGCAGGCAATAGCGAAGCACGGTAGAGGTTCCTTGCAAGTTTGGGCCTGCATTTCTGCAAATGGAGTTGGGCAGTTGGTGTGGCTGAGAAATACAAGCATATACTTAACCATCATGCAATACCATTAGGGATGTGTCTGATTGGCCCCAAATGTATTCTGCAGCAGGACAATGACCCCGAAAATATAGCCAATGCCATTAGGGAATTATCTTCAGCGTAAAGAAGAACAAGAAGTCCTGGAAGTGATGGTATGGCCCCCTAAGAGCCCTGATCTCAACATCAGTCTGGGATAACATGAAGAGACAGAAGGATCTGAGGCAGCCTACATCCACAGAAGATCAGTGGTTAGTTCTCAAAGATGTTTAGAACAACCTACCTGCCGAGTTCCTTCAAAAGTTATGTGCAAGTGTACCTAGAAGAACTGATGCTGTTTTGAAGGCAAAGGGTGGTCACACCAAATATTGATTTGATATAGATTTTTCTTCTGTTTGCTCACTTTGCATTTTGTAAATTGATAAATATTAACAATTACATTTTGTATTTTTGAAAGCATTCTTACTTTACAGCATTTTTTCACACCTGCCTAAAACGTTGTCACAGTGTTGCACATATATATTCTTGTTCAGTTCACAATGGTATAAAATTAAGAAAAGAAGGAACTCATCATATTTAAAAAGATCTGGAATAACCAGTTTTTGGAATTATAACTTTTGAAATAAGTTAAATCAGTATCTAATCAAACTGCTGATGCTAAACTCTTTATTGTTTAACTAATCAACAACTTATAGATGGACTGGAGAATTAGCCAACAAAATAATAAAGTCAATTAAGATTTCACTGTGACTCGACTGCAGACTTCCTGGTCTGTTTCTAATATGCTCTTACCAGCCATGGTGGAGATCCCCAAGGTGACTCCGATAGAAAGTTCAATCTGTGTTCCCTGGAGGACAGGAGAGAGACTGAGGTGAGATATTCATCCACACTTGGTGTTATTACAAGAACAACCAGACAGAAGACAATGTGAATCTCTGATGAAGGCTTACACATTTCATTTCACAAAGTCTCTGTTTTACTTTCAGGCGAATAATTCCAGTAAAATCAGCCTTCATCACTGTGTAAATATCTCAACTTACTGCTGCGATCATGATGGCGTTATCAAGGAAACCAAATCCAATAAAGGGGATGGCGTTGTGAAACAAAACTGCAAACAGAGAAAGTGAATAAACATCACAGGCAGGATTAACACATAATCTGACATTTAATTCCTGCACTTAACCCTCAGTGAATATATGGCTGATAAATGAATACATTAATACTCCACAGTTTATTTCCTTTAAATGTGTTCTTTTTAAATCCCACATATGCTGAGTTATATGTTTAATTCACAAACATTAGGTGAAGAAAAAATGCAGTCCATGCTCAAGTTAACCAATCTGTAGATACAGGCACACAGATTTTCAAGCCAATATTATTTTTCTACTTTATTTATGAGCCCTGGTGACCTCCATAGTTTCTCACTGTGGATAAATAACCTTTTGAAAATGACTCATTCCCTGTGAGCTCTGCTAAAGAGAAAAGTGATGTGGAGTCTGATTATGAGGTCAGGTATTGACCCATGGTTCTCTCTGAAGTTCAGACTTTACAGAACAAACTGTTATCTGATGGGAGGAGAGACAGGAAACATCAACAAAGCTAATTAAAGTCAGCTTTGATTTCCACCATAAACACAAAAGAGATCAACGACTCAAAGTGTTTATTTAAAAAAAAAAAAAAAAAGATCATAGAAATACTGATGGGAGAATGTCCCATCAGTGAAAGGCTGTAATTCCTTTACAAAATACAGAGGGTGTGTGTGTTGGTGTGTGTGTATCAGATTTAATCTCTCACCATATCTGATCTGGGCTGCTGTCGGTGGCAACGGCTCCAGCTTCTCTGAAAGGAGAAAACATGAAAACACATGAGACATTCGCTCATTAACAGCTGAAGTTTTCTGACTTAAAGCGCCTGCAGTAACATGAAGACACAGTCTGCTCGCCCCAAACTCAACATCGCCTCTCATGCTCAACCATTTACACTGTGAGTCGATGCTCTACAGTAACTTCTCACAGCTCGTCCCACACACAAAAACACGCACAGCGTTGTGTAATGGTAGCAAATGACTGCCACATTAAAATTTTCCACACCAAAGTGCCAAAATGCATCATCCTATTATGTTTCTTTAAAATCAGGCCAGATGTGTTGCTCCAGTTCAACATTTTGACCTTTCATCACGGCGCCCCCATAACGCCAGTCAGTATTGTTTTTAAATGCCAGAAGACGGTTTAAAGATCATCTTTTCAGATTTCATCATAGTTAGAACTTAAAAGTCTCAACCACCGAAGACATCTCATTTGTCAGTCAAATATAACTTAATAAGTTATACGAGACATGAATACATTTCTTGCAAAAAACTAGAATTACCGCCTCATGGTTGTATGCCCCTACATCCATTCTGATGAAACATGGATGCTTCACACACATCTTCCCTCCGGCAGCACAAACGATCTATACAATCAGCACGGTTTCAAGGTCGATACCCAAGATTAGTGTCTCTAATTCAGTATCTGACCAAATGTCTCCCCTTCTGTTCCTGAATTATGATGCTGAATAATGACCGGTAAAGTGTTTTTGCAGAACAGCATGATGTCACAGTGAAGCTGACCTTTGACCTTTTGGATATAAAATGTCATCATGTCATTATTTTATCCGGTTAGACATTTTGGTGAGGTTTGTCATAATTTGCGTAAGTATTCTTGAGTTATGGCCAAAAACATGTTTTGTGAGGTCACACTGACCTTGACCTTTGAAAACAAATTCTAATCAGTTTATTCTTTAGTCCAGTGGACGTTTGAGCCAAATTTAAAAAAGAACAAAACAAAATCCCTTAAGGTGTTCTTGAGATATCACGTTGACAAGAATAAGACAGATAAGGACACATGGACCTTGACCTTTGATCGCAATAATCGAATCAGTTCATTGCCAAGTACATGTGGATGTTTGTGCCAAATTTGAAAAAAATCCATCAAGCAAAATGATGAAGATGGTACCACATGCACACGCAGCAGCCCCGCTCTGTCCCGATACCACAATGTTTTCTTCTTCTTTTTCTTTTTTTTTTTAAAGATTATTTTTGGGGGCTTTTTGCCTTTAATGTACAGGACAGTGTGAAATTGGGAGACAGAGAGAGTGGGGGAACGACATACAGCAAAGGGCTGCAAGCCAGAGTCGAACTCGCGACCGCTGCAGCTAGGCATCACCTCTATACAAGGGGCGCTGGCACTATCCACTAAACTACAGACGCCCCATGTTTTCTTCTTTTTCTTCTTATTCTGCGCGTTCAAGAGAGAGTTTGCTGAGTTTGTTCATACACGGACACCAGTACCAGTACAGCAGACAACTTCTGCCGACCCACGAGAACAACCGCTGTCTGTCCTGACTACTACCCCTTCAGGGTACTAATTTTATTTAATTTAGTGATTCTTTTGTGTGTGACATCGAAACATACAGCGCAAAACTAGTCAAAAACAAGAAGTGCAACACAAGTGACCGACATCAAAACAAACAGGGCACTGCTTCTCAGTGTTTGCTGAATTTTGACCAAAATGACTCAGAGGAATAAAAAACTCTCAGCTAATCAAAAGTCTTTTTTCGTCTTCTTTCTTTTTAGTCTTGTTTATGAACTCTGTATATGTAAGGGTTCTTTCAGATCTAACGTTGTCTTGCTTAGGTCAAAATCAGGGACTAATTTTGTTACAAAGTTGGTTCATGTTCTCTCGGCAACAGTTAAAAGTAGACCAGATAAAATGCCTGCGTGAGAAAGCTACTCTTGATTGGTCAGAATTTCCATGCGAGAAAGATCCAGGAACACGTTCTCACCACAAACAAAACGCACCAGAGTATGTTGCAACTGGACCGAGACCGCCTCTTCAGGAAGGTCTCAATCTAGTTGTTTTGGTGTGCACCTGAGTGTGATTGCTGTGTTCACACCTGCCCAAACAAACCACACTTAGGGGACAAACAAACTTGAGTTCAGCTGCAGGGCTCAACAGTGCGAGCGTTTCACTCGCATTTGCGACTGAAAATAGGTGTGTGTGAACTGTAAAAAATATTTAGGGGCACATGTGCGCATAAAAACATCAGCCGAAGCAGCTTATATTTTTGTCAATAAAAAAATATGATAATCTAACAGCAAATGTTGGAGGAACTCCAGCCACCATCCCTCTTCCCCGTGTGACACGGTTATGGGCGGTTTTCCAAGCCACTGTCGGCACAATGAATATAAGTCCCACTGTCGGCAGCGTGGAAATGAGTCAAAGTGTGGAGGAGATGGACTAGGTGGATCTCTGGGGAAGCCTGCTCCGTTCTCCCCGTAGTTCAAATAATTTCAACTCTGAGCGCAGCGCTCCGGCAGAAAATCAGAGCAGTGAGCGACACCAAGGGTAGTGGTGCCGCTTTGTCAGGCGTTGCTGCCCTCTTTATAGACAAACAATGGGACAGCCAGCGCAAAGCGGTTTTTCAGCTGATCATATGTAGAGGCCTTTAGGGACCGTGCAACACGGTACCCCTGCTGGGCAGGGTGGAAATAAAGCCCTTTTCACACAGAGTGCGCAAAGCACAGACCTCCGCCAACGAACCCATTCATTGTGTATGTGCTACCGCGGCGCAAGAGCGCACCGCTCTGCCGCCGAGCTGAGCATGTCGCGGCATCTGTGCGCCACCAGCCTGCGAGTCCCCAGCCTGTGCGCCGCCAGCCTGCGCTCGAATTGAAATTTTTTTAATTTCACCGCAACGCGCTGTGACGACACCTCGGCGCCGCGCATCCAATAGCAGAGAAGAGCCTGAAGTAGACCCGGAAGCGGTCACCATGGAGCTGTAGCTCCTGAACGAGCCTGTATTCCCCCAAATCCTGTCCTCTGCGCCCTACCCCGCGGTGGGCACCGCGAAAGCTCTGTGTGAAAGAGGTTTAAGTCCTGCAGAGTTTCATAGGACCTGGAGAATGTTTTAGGATAGTAATAACATTATATAAGATAATCATATTGCAAAGATAATATATATAAGATATATATATATATATAACATTAAAGACAAAATTAAATTACAATAGGCCTACTTTTTCAAAACTTAATGATTTTACCTTTCTGTACATTTTGTATACAAATTCATTAAATAATTTTGCTTGTAAATGTCTATTTGCATCACGTTTATTACGGAAAACACATTATTTGATCAATTTAAATTGTGCCCCTAAAGTTCTTTGTGCGCTTCTTACTTTTTCAACTTAGGAGAACATGTGCTCCTTGGGAAAAAAGTTAGCATCAAGCCCTGAGCTGAACCGAACCAAACATGGCATGTGTCAAAGCACCCAAAGATATGTTTTGTTAATCATAATTTTTCTCATTTTAGACTGTATTGTAAAAAGGCCACTCACTCGGGTTAGCTGCGGGGGGGGGGGGCTCACGTGTTTCTATTAGGGCACTGTACAGGGCCCAACCCAATCCCCCAGGTCCAGGCTGTCCAAAATCCCTCAGGTTTCTGCCAATTTTCAGGGTTTTTTTTTTTTTTTTTAGTGTTGACCTTATAGTCTGTGTAATGTCGTGAATAATGAATGAGCTGTGTTGCATTAACCCATTATAACGAATGTAACTGTTGAGCTTGAGAATCAGATTAAAAATTTAAAAAACATTAGAATTAGGGGGGTCAATTGTGCACATACAGTACACAAACTCCAGAGCAATGCACAGCAGACACATGACGCTGGCAGCTCTCATACACACATGAGCCAGAGCTGAATTGGACTGGAGGGAAAACAAGAGATATAAAGAGAAGGGTTACAAGGTGTCAGTTGTTGTTGGCAGTGTTTGCTCTGCTTTCACAGCAGTGGGAGAGATGCACAAAACATGCAGCAGAGGGCGGCGATCATCAACTGTGCACCACACTGCCGTGGATGGCGCTGCATGGACGGGCACAGCCCGCTCTGAATGTCATACCTGACACCTAGAGATGAAAACAGACTCTTGAAATAACAAAGGGAAAAGAAAATTAAGAAGTGGCGTGAGAAAACACACCAGCACTTAGCTTGTAATAAATGTTTTAATGTTAAAACGTGAAAAGTCAGGTTTTTAAATCAGGCTCGGGCCCAAAGCTGCTGCAGTACTTCAGGCTCATGTGGGCTTACACAGAAACTATTTAGGTTCAAGTAATGTCGGGCCTCAGGGGCGAAAATCCCATTTCATAGTTGGGGGGGACAATAAACAGTAAAATTTTAGAGAATAATTCCGGGGGGGGACAAGGAAAAAAAAGTTGTAGACTGTCTTTTATACAGCATCTTTTACCGCAATTTGACACTTTAATCTTTTCTCTTAGTCTTGCTCACCAGACCTTTCTCAAGAAAAGAAAGGTCTGGCTGGGCCAACTCTCACTTTGAGATTGGAGAAAAAAACACCCCGGCTGCTTGTACTTCTTTCAACCAATCACAGTTGTTCTGGGCAGTGCCACAGCAACGGTGCGCTTGCAAAAATATTGCCGGGGGGAAACAGGTTTTGGTGTAACACACCCACAAAAATATCACCTACAGGACGCGAACCATAGCAGAAAAATGGCTACATCCCCGCAAGATCAAACACCGCAAAAGTTAGTAAAGGACGTGTTGAAAACTGCTACACAACCGGAGGTGGTAGGGCGGGACTTCAGCGGGTGGCTCGTTCCGCCCAATGAGAGGCTGATCTCTGCAGCGAACTTCCGCCCGCTCAGACTACTTTTCTCTATCTCTCCAACAGGCAGGCATAGGACCTTTCTTAGCACTGGCTGAGTCCACCTGCACATGTCCAGATTTAAAACAAAATGATTGAAATCAAATTAACATGTACACAACAACAACAGTCAGGTGCGCCTTG